TATATATATATATATATATATATTATTTATTTAAATCTTAAATATAATACATGTCCTTGTTTTTATTAATCATTTTTTATTTCCCCCCCCACACACACACATACATATATATATAAAGCAAACAATGCTTATTAAGGTGAGGATTCAGATAGAAATACTCTCAGATGCTTTACTACTGCAAACATGAAGAGAGTTCACAAACGATGAAGATGAAGGCTAAGGGAGGTTAAGGCCTGCTAAAATAGAGTCTAGCAATGTCTATGGTAAGCATTGAGGCATACAAGGACTAGACCACAGCTATTACAAGTATAAGGGCTCCCTCTGCTGGATAGACACCATAAATATACATTAAAGCCAAGATGTGCTCCTGGAGTTGTCTTACAAGCAGAAATTTTGAGTCTAGCCCAGGGCCAGGCTGAATCATTAACTTATCCAGTGACGGCTCACAGGAAACATCACCTCTGAAAAGCAGCTGAGCCCTGTCCTGAAGTGACTCAGAGTGCTCGGTGGGAGCAGACGGCTCACGTCCAACAAAAAACTTGTTCTCCAGAAAAATGCTGACATTAAAGACTCAACAAAAGAACAGTCCCGACGATGTTGTTAATGAAGGTGTTAATGAGGGCACAATGGACCTAAAAATAACATCGAAACTGTTGCTGCAAAAGAACATCCAGTTTTCAGACGACATGCATAATCTCAGAGGCACATATCCTTATTTTCCCTGCTTTCAGTTTAACATATAAATGCAGGCCTTGCTTCACAGGAGGGCCAGGAGGATGGCCAAATGCAAAGCAATTTCAGATGGCTTAAAAAAAATAAAAAAATAAAAAAAAAATTCCAAATTTAAAAAAGAAGAAAAGTATATATATATAAACTCTATAGAGTGTATTCACAAACCTGAATTCTGCCATTATGAAACACAGCTGTTTATGCTGTTGGTATAAAAATCGTATGCCATCATAGCAACTTCCTGTTCATACATGACATGCCCTACCTCACCACCTCTCAAGGTCCTGTGGCATCTGGCGACTTAGAATATAGGAGCAGGTGAAATTGGGACAAAGCACCTACATATGCCCTCTACGTGCCTCCAGCTTTTTTTAAGCCTCCACTGAGAACCTCTCAATGTCATCACCCAAAGTCAACCCACCCAGATTAGCCTTCATACGTAATAAAGCTTGACGAAGATGATACAGATGTGATGTGCTTTTTTTGGAGCCAGAAAAGTGTTTACGCGCTAAATAGTCCTAAACAGATACACCTGGTTTATTACTTTAAAATGAAAAATGTGCGAAAATTGTGATGATGAATGGAGAATACCAAAAAGTGGTAACACAACCTTCAACAGCTGTGAGAAAATAACCATATGAAATATGATGCAAACAGCACACTGTGCCACATTTTAAGAGCAAACTAAATAGGCTGCACAGCGCCGCAAAATTAACTCTCAGCTTCAAACTGCAGCAAATCTGTTCAGCCAATCAGATTTAAGTGCTGAAAATCACAAAAAATACCACAACACTATTTTGAGCATCAAAAATACCATAATATCACTTACTCGCCACCTACTGTAGTTACATGAATAAGCACAAAACAAAAACAATATCCTAATTTGCTTATATCGCTTGCCGATATCTAATAATCAACTTTCAAATGGCCTCACGTACAGAATCTACACCAGCTGGAAGAAAAACAAGCATATTTCAGCAAACCATAAATGAGGGGCTTACTCATTTAGAGCACCGCCTATGGCAGCCAACCGGACTGCCAACGTAACTAGCTGTCAAAACCGAGCAGCGAAGCTTTCTTATCCAGCTTCATCCAAAGACAATTACATAAGCTTCGCATCTTATTTTTGGTGAAAAAAGCAAAAAAAAGAGTTAATGTGGGCTGAGGTATTTATGCAAAACAGGGAGGAAGGAAACAAGGCCAGTAAGTGTTAGAAATCGGTTCAAGCGCTGCACGTAAAGTCACATTCACAGGTCTATTTTTAATCAAGCTTGAAGGAAATATGGTCTCAACATCTTGAAGATTTTGATGCAGCAATCAAAATATGACCACGGTGGCAGATTAGCTGCTACAGCAAACACTTGGCTAGCACGTAGCTGCGCATTCGTACAGTGAAATTATGTTTATATCGACAGCTATAGAGTTAAACTTAGCTCAATCTAAATCTGGCTTCATTTAACGCTGCAGGAGTTCATTAAACACTGGTAATTTTACCGGGGTCTGGCTGTGCGTATTGTTTGTTTGATTAGCATGTTGCAAGCTATACTGTAGGGTTCAAGCTACAGGATGTATATCTAACAAAACTGCTTTTCAACTTGTCCGAAGCATTACACTAAGATTTTATGAACAGAGTTGTTCGTTTTAAATGACAAAGAGGTAAAATGAATAACTTCAAGAACAACTGTGAAATCCATAATACTAAGAAAGCCAGGAAATATGGAATGGCTTCATGGCAAAATGGTGTCAGTGTGGTACAAATGTAGGAAGTGTTCTTCAAAATATCTTTTATGGCAAGAAATAAAAAAAAAAAATGGTTTTAAGTCAGTTATTTCTATCTTTTGCTGTAGTGTGTCAGTAGGAAATATCAGTTTACATTTCAAAACGTTCATTTTGCCATTAATTGTAATAATCCAGTGAGATTTTTGTCTGACAACAGCCAGAGCTCCACACAGAGATCTGATCTGATCTGATCATCATCCAGTCTGTCTGGAATGACATGAAGAAACAGAACAAACTGAGACAGACTAAATCCAGAAGAACTGTGGCAACGTCTCCAAGATGCTTGAAGAAACTTACCTGCAAAGCTAAAGTACTGTTAAAAGTTTTATGCAAATGCAAAAAATGCTGTAAAATGAAGATGCTGTCAAAAATAATGTCATAAATAGATTTTCTTTATCAATTAACTTTTATTAACTAAATTAAATCAACATTTGATGTGACCATCCTTTGCGTTTAAAGCTGCTTTTGCCCTCGGTGCATTTGATTAGCATGTTGCAAGCTATACTGTAGGGTTCAAGCTACAGGATGTATATCTAACAAAACTGCTTTTCAACTTGTCCGAAGCATTACACTAAGATTTTATGAACAGAGTTGTTCGTTTTAAATGACAAAGAGGTAAAATGAATAACTTCAAGAACAACTGTGAAATCCATAATACTAAGAAAGCCAGGAAATATGGAATGGCTTCATGGCAAAATGGTGTCAGTGTGGTACAAATGTAGGAAGTGTTCTTCAAAATATCTTTTATGACAAGAAATAAAAAAAATCATACACAGCCTAGCCATACCAGCCTGTTTAATCCAAGGTTTTGGTTGAGTTATCTTAACAACATAACATATATATATATATATATATATATATATATATATTTATAGAAAAATTCTATTTAAATAATATTACACACACACGTTAGTTTTTCCCTATATAAAAATGTATGTGATGAAATGTGAATATTATTTATTTGTATGTGTATTATATACGTACAAACACACACACACATTCACAAACCTATATATTATAATTATTATAATATCATACATTAAAAAGTTTTTTCCATATTCCCCTGGCTTCATCGGTCAAATCCTGCATGTTTTTCTTAATTTTTACATTAAAAGCACCACAAAGTCCCACGGACAAAATACCACTGTGATACTGTTTTTAGGCACTATTTATTGCAGTACTATAGTATTCTTAGAAGTAGCTTGAAAAATCTTGAAAAACTTAAATGTAAATACCACAGCACTTGATTACATGGGTAAATCTTCAAAACAACTCTGAACAAGCGGCATGGTTGTTTCTACAACATGACCTTTACTGGCACGAGACGGAGCGTCTCGTATTTCCCTTGTTTATAGCGGTTGACAAATAGCAATATGACGCTACAACTGACTACATCTGCTTTGCTTCCATTCTGAGCCTCTGAAGAGCAGCCACATTATCTAATACACCACAGAGTAGAAGCCACATAGAAGACACATAGACACCGACCGAAAGTGACACACTCACACATGCACACACACCATACGGACACAGCCATAGCAACTGCTGCTGTAACTAAGGAATAGCGTTCCATTTGAGCCGCACATGCAGGCACGGAAGCCAATGATATTTCCATGGGTTCATCACTGGCACTAGCTGGAATCGAAGACCCCGCTTTTGGAGCCAAAAGACCAGATGTGTAGTCTTTGTTTTCGGTTGTTGTCCGTTTTTATTTAGGCTGGCCCGCATCGGCAGCGGAAATGCCATCGTAAAACATGTCTAGCACAACAAACCAATCTATATAGGCTGCAGCGTGAGAAACGAGAGGAGAACAGGGTCAAATACCAGAGGAGTTAATTCTTCCTTTTTAAAATGACATCTAATTAGAGGAGTTTTTTGCAGTGGAAGTGAGTAATTGGCCTGGCCCACTTACTGTACCGAGCCTGCTCTCGCGCTAGAACCCCTGTTGAGTGACAAGATTCGCACACCCACCGACACACATGCATGCGCGCAGACGCACACAAGCGCACACACTCATGCACACGTGCACGCTGAACTTTCACTACATGATGAGCACCCACACATGCATTCACTCACTGGGAAATATATATATGCATGGCCACACACACACATGCTCTCTATCTTTCTGGGCAGATTCTTGCCTCTCGCTGTGGCCTAATTGTTTGCCAAGTCTCCATATTGCAACTTTGTATTTTACGCTTCTGCACCCAAAGTCACAAAGCTAAAAAAAACAACAGCCCGGGCGTCTGTCCAAACCCATCCTGGATCAGGTGCATGTCGCATTGCAAATGCAACCAAGCCCTGGCTGCTCGGGTTATTTTACAGACAGATGTCCAAATATTTGTCACTGTTTCTTTTCAAGGCTATAAGCAAACCGCATGGGTTTCATAGGTACCATTCAACGCTAAACTCACATAGTTGTCTATATGCTGTAATAGAAATTTTGTCATCGTCTATTCACCCTCATATAGTTCCAAAACAGTATGACTGATTTCTTTTGTGAACCAAAGTAAGAGACATTTTGACCAATGTCCTAGCTGCTCTTTCATTATAATAACATTGAATGGGCATTGAGGCTTTTAAGCATCAAAAAGGAAGCAAAGGCACTATAAAAGTAACATGAATACCCCATACCAAGTGTTCTGAAGCCATAAAATAGTTTTGTGTAAAAATTTAATATTTGGAATGACATGAGGGTGAGAAAACAGAACAGACTTTTCATTTTTGGATGATCTATCCCTTTACTTTTATAAAAACTTACTGGTGCATGCTAATTATTTCAATATGTATTATTTCTAAAAATTACCCTTATATAAAAGTCATACTTGCATAAAAGAAGCTATAGGAGGATTCAACATATTCTTTTATCTCTACAATGCACTTTAAAAATTAATAGTTTATTCATTATTCAATAAGTCACCAAGGGAAGGACTGTTCACTTAAAAAGAACACTAAACACCATTTACATATTAAATCTTCACTCAATAGGATATTTCTTCTTGTTTTCCACCTTATTAACATGCACTGCAATTACGTCATCTGCCTCTTCAAATGCTCACACTCTTTTTAAAGTTAGGTGGATTCTGATTTGCCGTCAATGTTTTTAAGCATTCATCAACTAGAAAAAATAATTCTGAAAGTAATTCCACTGATACTGTTCCTCTGTTTCGTTATCGTTATAGTTGTGGTGTGAATGACTTTTAACAATTTCATTAGAAAGGTTATAGTGTGAATGGGCCTTAAAGGATTAGTGAGTAATTTACTCACCCCCATGTCATCCAAGATGTTCATGTCTTTCTTACCTATCATGTCTTAGTTGCAAAGAAATTACGTTTTTTTAAGGGAAACATTCCAGGATTTTTCTCCATATAGTGGGCTTCAACAGGTTGAAGGTCCAAATTACAGTTTCAGTGCAACTTCAAAGGGCTCTACACGATCCCAGCTGAGGAATAAGTGTCTTATCTAACGAAACGAATGGTCATTTTCTAAAAAATTTTTTATAATTATACTTTTTAACCACAAATGTTTGTCTTGCACTAGTCTCGCGTAGCCAGACCTTCAGACTGATGGCTGAAGGTCTGGAATCCATGGCAGCTTTCATTGGCCAAGGCCCGCCCATGAGGCCATTTGACCGACATGTCAAACAACCAATCACAGTTCGTTGTGTTCATTGTCACGTTTCGGGACGTGGAAATGTCGCCACAATAACAGCGTGTGTAAAACTCTCGGGCATATTTTAAAGATTCTATGCCGCGAACTTTACATTTTTCACATACTTTTGAAAATCCAGTGTTTAGTAGATCCTGATAAGTGCTCGTCATCACAGTTGTAAACACGACGGCTTTCTTCTTTCGTGAGGGGCTTTGGCGGCACGGCATCTTTGTTTCCAGGCGTAACGTTAAAGAACGCAACACACACGTCTCCCGGAAATCCTGTATAATTCAACCAATCCGATGACGACTTCAAAACTCCTGAAGTGTTTCCACTTTTGTGTGCCATATGCATCAGACGTTTAGCCAACGGTTCATGGGCGTGACGTCTGAGGTTGAGACTAGTCTTGCACTAGCTCTACAATGCGCATGTGCGACTTCAAGCATTGCGTAATCACGTTGAAAAGGTCACGCATGGTTTTCAAAAAGGTAGGTTAGATCGAAAAACTTCATCTCATTTTCTCCTCCAACTTCAAAATTGACCGACATCGTTGTTTTACCTTTTTTTGTAAAGGCCGTTTAAGTTTCTTTGGACTTTCACTTTGAAAACACTGGGTCGGTATTTCCGCCTACGTCACGCGTGACATTTCCAACATGACTACGTAATGGATGCAGAGCTACTGCAAGACGAGTGGACATTAGTGGTTAAAAAGTATATAATTCTTAATTTTTTTTTACAAAATGACCAATCATTTCGCTAGATAAGACCCTTATTCCTCGGTTGGGATTGTGTAGAGCCCCTTGAAGCTGCATTGAAACTGCAGTTTGGACCTTCAACCCATTGGCCACCATTGAAGTTCACTATATGGAGAAAAATCCTGGAATATTTTCCTCAAAAAACGTAATTTCTTTCCGACTGAAGAAAGAAAGACACGAACATCTTGGATGACATGGTGGTGAGTGAGTTATCAGGAAAATTTTATTCTGGAAGTGAACTAATCCTTTAATTGTGGATCTAATGTCCTGAAAACTCCAAAAAGTAACATTTTTGAAAAGCCAGGCATCTCTGCGGTCCAGTCCATATCCCATAGACCAATTCCCAACACTTGACCTATTTGCATCCACACATGGCCTTATAAAAATAATACAGATTTGCCATAAATACTGTAGGGCCTCTGGTGGCAATAGATAAAAACAACTTTGTCCTTACAGAAAGGGACACATTCCAGCCTGGACATGAGGGACCCACACAAAACTGGACACATTCTGACACATTGACACAGTTGTCCTCAAGTCCCATTTCTCCCTTCTGGGACAGCCACTGACCTGCTGTGGCGCTGAGGGGTCTGTCTCCGGGTGTCTCCCTCCCCCAGTCGGCCCAGGGAAGGGGAACGACTTCGGGCGGAGCGTCCCCCCCGGGCCATGGTCTTCACCGTGCCATTGGGGCTGTTCTGCATCTGCTGGGGGTGGCGGGGCGAGAGGCTGCGCAGGGGGGAGGCGGTAGGAGAGGGCGAGCGAGAACGGTCCAGTGGTAGCTTGTTAACGTTCAGGTTGTTGTCGCTGTTGGAGCGGAGCAGCACGCGTGGGGCAGCAAGAGTGCTCCTACCCTGGTGCTGTGGCGGTGTTTGCTGCAGCGGCCTGCTCCGACCCGTGCCTGTCGGTGCCTCCCAAAAAGGCACTGGGAGAGATACAGAAACAAAGAGAGTGATTACATAAAAAGAATAGGAAAGACTGTTTATACAAAGTGTGAAATGGACTTTCAACTACTCCGTCTGCGTCAAAGTAGTTCAGCTTTTTAGGTGTCCTTCATTCCATTGAAAGTTGCAATAATTAGAGCACTGTAACGGGTGTTCAAGTACAAGCTGCTAGACTGCGCTTCAGCTTCCTACCACATACAAAGAACTTTGTCACATTAAAAGACCGAACGCTGTCTGCTCATCAAGTTCACAATCACCCAGTTTGATGCTCATTTATTGAATTAATGAATACATTTGTTGCTGTTGAATTTATGTCATAAGCTGTCAGAACTCAGATCAAATTAATGTTGCACATCTAAACCCATGGTCGAATTCTAGTTAAAGAAAAAATCCTGGTTAAATAAGCTAAATAATTAGTTAACATTTTATAATTATGTTGTTCAATACTTTAAAATGAGTTAATTCAATAGCTAACATGGACTATCAATTACATTACATGATTGGATTACATTATTTGCTGTATTAAAAAAAGCATACTGATAAATTAACATTTACCTAGATTAATAAATGCTGTAAGCTTATGTGTTACCATTAATTTCAACTCGTCCCTCAGTTTACAAAAAAACCCCACACAAAATAGGTATTTGCAAACTGAAAGCATTTAGGAACAGTAATACTGGTGGATTCTATGAATTATTCAGTAATGTTTAATTCAAAAATGGTCATTAGTTGATATGTAAAAATAGTAAATCATCCTTTTTGAGGTAGAATTACTTTTCTAGGTCAATGGACTTTATCATTTACTAATGTAATTCCTCTGGGTAAAGTTTGATTCATGTAAACAGAAGCTTAGCGGACATATCACTTCGTGGTATCCTTAAGGGTATCACACAAAAAGTTACCAGGCTTACTGGACTTAAATTTGTTGTGAAATAGTGTCATATCTTTAAAGCTAAAGTTTGCCATTTTTCAATGTTAAATACACTACTGTTCAAAAGTTTGGGGTTGTAAGAAGTTTTTAAAAAAGTCTCTTTTGCTCACCAAGGCTGCATTGATTTAATCAGTAATATTGACACATTGTTGATTTAATATTGTCAAACCTTATTACAAACTGTTTTCTATTTTAATATATTTGAAAATGTAATTTATTCCTGTGATGGCAAAGCTGAATCTTTAGCAGCCATTTCTCTAGTCTTCAGTGTCACGTGATCCTTCAGAATTCATTTTAATTTGCTGCTCAAGAAACATATCTTATTATTATCAAGGTTGAAATCACATGTGCTGCTGTGGAAAGAAGTCATACTTTCTTCTGGATTTTTTGGATCATCTGGACTGATGAATAGAACGTTCAAAATAAATCTTTATAAATGTCTTTTGTCACTTTTGATACATTTAACACACCCTTGGCTGAATAAAATAAATAATTTCTTCTTTAAAACAACTCTTACTGACCCCAAACTTTTGAACAATAGTGTACTTTCTTCTATCCCAGCACAATGTGTAGAGATAACTACAGTACAGTATTTGTAAGTTGTTAACACTGTGTGTCTGTGGTGCTTTTAAAATACTGCTCTGTTGTGTTTTTGTTTTGTTTTTTATTCCAAACTAGACCAACATAGCAACACTGCCTCAGCCAAATAGGGTTTGGGGCGGGGCTATCTGTTTTGGCTGACCAATGGCAGACTGTTTGGAACACCTGTCTGAAAACAAGCAGTTTGGTGTTATTAGTAGTGCAAAAAAAAAAAAAACTTCAGGTTTAACTTTTACTTCAATGCCCAATAGACTTTGTAAAAGTTTTTTTTTTTTTTCCCCAAACTGAGAGATGAGTCAAATGCATTTCTTGTGGAAATCAACAAAGTTACATCTTAATACTCCCTTAATACTGCAAACACAGTGGTTTTTGTTTCTTAAACAGCAAGACTATGCTGATCACTCTGGTCTCCAGAGACATACACCCACATCAGCCAACTTCTGTGGTTCCTAGGTAATATGCACACATTTCAGGGCCAGATGAAGCCTATATCTCCACAACACCCCCCTTATTGGGCCTAGGGAAATCCCTGGAGTTCACTGTTCGCACTGTATATGCATGATGAATGCATATTATTATTTATCCGCTGCCATATTAAAGGTGGTTCAGGAAGATGTTTATCAAAAGGAGCTTGTTTCTCAGAAACACCAGGCTGCTGAAAGTCACAGTTCACGCATGAACTAGATATCACTTGCTGGGTGAGACAAACGCTATAAATATATTCTGAAAAAAACCAGGAGAAGCATAGAGGAGAATTACACCGCTAAACACACATCAAACTCCCCTATTCATTAATGTGCTGACGTAATGGCAACCTGGAGCAGTTAGATCACCTTCACTGTCACGGAAGGTTTTCATTGGATGACGGTTATTATGACAAACAGTCTCAGAGGTACATAAGCTCCTGTTCATTATTTAAAAGGCTACTGTAGAGTGATCATTACAGCAATAATGTACAAACCCAACCCCCACAAGCTGTGAAGAAATCCACCCAGCCTCCAAAGATGTGGCAGGTGATGCCACATGAAACCTGCCAATTAAAAGAAGCCGACATTCAAAATGTCACAACAGGGGGGGAAAAAACGACATGGTTCATATGGGCAGCCCCATAAAGCACAACAAACAGGGTTTTTCTGGCACCAACTGAAGACGATGACATCACAAGCACACTGGCTGCCGGAACACGTTGGTTTTTGGAACGCTGATGAAACAGTCATTTCCTTCAAACAAGTGAAATCAAAACATTCCAATAGCAACATTCTAAATATAAAATGCACCAATTCCAATAAACGAAACTGTAGGAAAGGTAGAAGACATATGTTGAGGAAGGCTAAAAATTCACAGCATGAAGTTGATTGAATTCCTTGCAGACGGAAATGACTCTTTCAAAGTGATGTTCTCTCCACCTCAGACTACTTCGCTCTTCAGATTCAACTTTTGTTATAATCTGTCATAATACATGATAGAACTCAAAGACTTTTCCACACCTAAGAAAAGTCAGAACACCGTGTAGCTCTACGGCTGGAGTTCTGCGCACTAATCCCATGGAACAGAAGTCACCAAAGGTCAGGAGACCCCTGCTCTAGACCCTCAAAAACCCAAAAGATCACCTCTTACCTTCTTTCTTGAAGGCATTCAGTAAAGACTTCATATCTCCTCTGAGTTTATTGCTCAATAACTCCCTTGGAATGTCCGTTTCGCCTTGAGGAACTTGGAAACAGAAGGTCAGGTTCTCCTGGACTGGGGTTCCTCGGTCAGTGAAGCACAACGCAGAAGGCAAGCACTGTGGTGACAGTGCCCGCTCCACATGATGCCGTCTGTGACTGCGAGAGGAAACGGCAGAGTGCACAAGCCTCGCATGTTTCTTCGCTCGCTCTCTCTCTCGCTGACACACTTACGTACACACTAACTCTCTCGCTCAGTCTCAGTTTCTTTCTGTTTCTTTCCGTTTCGCCCCGCCCCCTTTTCTCTCTCTATCTCTCTTCCTCTACATCACTCTCTCCCCGCCACCAAATCATTCACTGTACTATCAGTTAAAGCCTCCCCCTGCTTGGATTCCTCTAGGTAGACAAGGCAGAAGACTGATTGGAGTGTGTTGTTGAATCAGCTGGGTGACAAGACCATGCTGGGATAATTTGATTCAAAACACCACCATTATGACACAAAGTACTGCGATAAACACAGTTGCCCCAAAATTCTTCAAGTTCGGCCCATCAGTGGCTCGCGATGTCATCAGAAGGGGTTTTAAAAATCGCTGATGACCGCCCACCGAACATGCAATCAAGATGCTCGAATTAACTCGCGACAATGAGAAGGTGCTATTGATTAGGGATTTTAACCCTTGTTGGCTCGCCCAAACAGCTGTATGGGAATCAAGCCCCCGAGTGTTGCTAAGCAACCCAGGGATGGATGTCTAAATTAGTCAGTGCAAGTTGCCGGGTTGTGAATTCTCCCGTTACCCATGTATGTGGGCTGTCCTTTCACACTAGCAATTCACAATTGCCTCTCGAGCGCTCTTTCCCTCTCTCTCTCTTTATCCCCTCCTCCCATTTTCTGGCATGAGATGAAAAAAAGATCTTTGAGGAAACAAGGAGGAAGGAATTCTTGCATATTAAAATCTGTGTCAGGGTATGATGTCGTCAGCATATATATGGATACGGAGTTGATAAATATACAGAGGGATCCCAAAGTCTGAGACCACTAGTGCAAATCCTCACATTTTGCTTTGTATTCTAATTTTTTTTAAATTTTATTTAGAGCATAAAAATGAGTGAAAAGTTGAATTCAAAGATAAACATGAACTTGAACATGAAAATTTGGTTTGCCCTTTTGCTTTTAAGCTGACAACAACTAAACAAGTTTCTGCAAAATCTGATTATCCATGGCAATTCACTTAAAAAAAGAATATTCAGAAATGTATTCACTAATTTGTTTAGATTTGTTTACAATAATTGGTTTGCCAACCAGTGTTGTTATGGTTAACTAAAACCAAAACTATTAAAATAATTTTTGTTAATTAGAATAAATCTGAAATAAAATAAAATATAAATATGGTACTAATTAGAGATATTAAAAAGCATGGTAAAAATTTACATTTGCATTTAGCAAATGTTTTTATCCAAAGCGACTTACAAATGAGGACAATAGAAGCAATCAAAATCAACAAAAGAGAAATGATATGTAAGTACTGTGACAAGTCTTGGTTAGTCAAACGCAATACATGGAGCAAGGTTTTTGTTTGTTTGTTTGTTTTTTGTTTGATTATAAATAAAAATAAAACAAGTAGACAGAGTAGAAAAAGAATAGAGAACGCTAGTGTTAGAGTATCCTTTTTTAAATGAAAAGAAAACAAGTAGTAGACTATGAGCACTAATCCCATGGAACAGAAGTCACCAAAGGTCAGGAGACCCCTGCTCTAGACCCTCAAAAACCCAAAAGATCACCTCTTAC